GCGGCATCGTTCGCCCTCTTGCTTGCTAGGGTTGAGGGTTTAGGGTTCAGGGTTTAGGGTTTAGGGTTTGGGGTTCTGGGTTCAGGGTTTTGGGTTTCCAAAGTTTAGAACCCACACGAAGGGATTTTGTAACTGCCCCAAGATCACCCCAGGGGCCTACAGCCCCGCACCCTAGGCCCGAAAGCTTGAAATCCAGAAGCCCGAAACGCAAGGTTTAGGGTTTAGGGCTTAGGGCTTAGGGCTTAGGGTTTAGGGTTTAGGGTTTAGGGTTTAGGGTTTAGGGTTTAGGGTTTAGGGCTTAGGGTTCCCTGGGAGGTACTGCAGTGCTTTCACTTTGCTGGGTCGCCTGCGGCCGCGCAGGCGTCTACTACACCGGAATGAGTGGCGAAGGCGCGCTGCGGCCATGAAGAAGACCCTAAGGGTAACCCTAAACCCCAAACCCTCAAGGCCAGGATGAATAGAATTTGTAGGTGTTTCATTACGAGCAGCTCGTGCAATAATCCTTCATCCTTCATAGTGCAAAAAAATCAGACAAAAGCGCGGCTTTCAGGGCACCAAAACAGACCCTGAAAAGGGAAAGAAAGCCCAAATGTCGCCGGCGCCTCATTAGCTGTGCAAAACATCCCAAAACCCCCCAAACTCCCCAAACCACCCCCCCCCCCTCCCTCCCAACACCCCCCCAAACCACAAAACCTTCCCCGAACCACCCCCAAACGAACCGCCAGCAAAACCGACAAAAACCTCCCCGAAAATTTAGCAAAAAGCAAAAAAAACAAAACCCAGCAAACCCCCCCCCCCCACCCCCACCCCCCCCCCAAACCCCTCCAGACCCCACAACACCCCTTCAAAACCCTTCCAAAAAAAAAACCCCCAAAACCCCCCAAACCCCCCAAAAAACCCTCGAACAACCCCCCCCCCCCCCCCCCCCCCCAAAACCCGACAAAACCCGACAACACTCCGGACACAAACCCTATACAATTTCTATAAACCCTAAACCCTAAACCCTAAATTGGGGAATACTTGGGCCTTAGAGTACTTCCTATCTAAGGACTTTGGGGCCCAAGTATAATAAGAAGGTACATGGAGCCTGAGGGAGTGATTTTCAGGTGTCGGGCTCAAAAAGTAAGAGCCCTGTAACACCCACAACGTCAACTATATCCCCCTTGGGAATTATTTTTTTTATTTTAAAAATAACAAAATTTTGTTTATATAAAACCCAAGAGGATGTTAACAAATATTATTTTTATGAAGGTTCTAAGGGGGAGTAGAGTCAAAGCAGACTGCCGTGCCCATTTTTTGTTGTGTGCAACCCTAACCCCTAAACCCCTAAACCCCTAAACCCTAAACCCTTAACCCTTTTAAACCTAAACGCTTTCTCTCTTTTTTTTGGGAGGGGGGGGCGGGGTTCCGTTCCAATACGAATTGGAGCTCACCAGGCGCAAAAGGTCATTGGTGTAGTTCTCCGGGGCGCTCACCTGGAACAGACCAGCCCTCCAAGTTCCTTTGCGGCTTAGGGCTTAGGGTTTTGTCTGGTGGTTGAGGGGCCGAGGGCTTATGGGGGTTTAGGAACGGCAAGAAGTCGTCATCGAGCCCGAACCCTGTAGTTCGCAAGTCCCTTGAATCTCTGGAGGTGGCAAGCCATGGGACTACGCTGCAGGAGCTGTCATTGCGCAGGAAGCGGGCGCCAGCCTTTGCAATCTCCAGGGCGCCTGGACAAATTTGAGCGGATTTCAGAAGTCAGCAGCCCCAAACCCGGGGGACACCCTACCACACGCACTTCCGGTTGTCCCCTGAGCACGAAGCCCCAATTTCACTATCAATCCTGACATGTCTTTCGGAGATCTGCAGTTTAGGTTTGCTTGGAGATCGGGGGACTTAGTATAGAGTACATAGAGTACATAGTGGAGTTGTAAGTGCCCGGAAAGCAACCCTGCTCGGGGGTTTTCTTCTGAACAACCCTAAACCCTAAACCCTAAACCCTAAGCCCTAAGCCCTAAGCCCTAAGCCCTAAGCCCTAAGCCCTAAGCCCTAAGCCCTAAGCCCTAAGCCCTATGCCCTAAGCCCTAAGCCCTAAACCCTACATACGAAGCGCCCCACCCTTCAAGCGGGTCTTAGGGTTGTTTTTTTCGGGTTTGGGGCTCACAAATCCGAAAGCTCGCAATCTAAAACCCTCAGCGCACCTTAAACCCTAGATGTCCCCTAGCCCTAAAGCCTTAACCCTAAATAACGCCTTAGGGTTTAGGGTTTAGGGTTTAGGGTTTAAGGTTTAGGGTTTAGGGTTTAGGGTTTAGGGTTTAGGGTTTAGGGTTTAGGGTTTAGGCAGAGCCTTAAACCTTGAACCCTGAAAACCTACAAGCCCTAGACCCTAAAGATCTTTGTTATAGAGTTCTTCAGCGAGCCTTTGGGAGTAGTCGGGAGTATAATGGAACCTTGGGTTATACGCCCCCCCCCCCCCCCTGAACCTAAACCACAAACCCTCAACTTAGACCCTAAACCCTAAACCCTAAACCCTAAACCCTAAACCCTAAACCCTAAACCCTAAACCCCAGAATTTCTGCTGAGGGGCGACGTTCGACCTGATGGGCCCCAGCTGCGTGTGCGCGGCCTCGGCCGCGCTGGCGGACGAAGTGATCCGAGTGCTGGGCACGAAGTTGTAGTTGAGGGATTTAGGGTTTAGGGTTTAGGGTTTAGGGTTTAGCCCAAAGAGAGATTAGTGTTTGAAGGTTGAGGGTTTAAAGGGCTGAGGGCTGAGGGGTAAAGGCGCCGTTCGTGTCAGCAGTCTGGGTGGTTGACATGTCGTCGGCATCAGAGGATGGTACGACGCGGTGACACCACGCACCCCCAGTTGCCTGGGTTCTGTGTTTGGGGATGTCGGGCTCGAACCCTAAACCCTAAACCCTAAACCCTAAACCCTAAACCCTAAACCCCTAGGCCACCCTGTACCTCATGATACGGATGTAGGGTTTCGGGTTTAAGGTTCAGGTCTCATCAAGGAAGCAAGGTCTCATCAAGACCACTTCGATTGTGTCTCAAATCTTAAAACCGCACATTCCTTTCCCTAAACCCTAAACCCTAAACCCTAAACCTAAACCCAGAACCCTGTATGGCACCCAGGCTGTAGGGCTCAGGGTTTTTAGGCTTTCAGAAGCCCCGCTGGCTTGCACTCGGTGACCGTAGATGAGAGGAAGGCTGCGTCCTCCATTGACACTCGAGAGGATGCAGTTGTACATAGGCCACAGGAGAAGCCGAAGCCCTGAGAGTTTTCGCATTGTGGTTTATGGTTTAGGTCGAGATGCCTTGTAAAGCTCGAAGACCTACACTACCCCCTAAACTGCTCAACCCGAAGCCCCTAAACCTCAAACCCTCACCGGCCCTAAGCCTTCAAACTCACGGTTTAGGGTTTAGGGTTTAGGGTTTAGGGTTTAGGGTTTAGGGTTTAGGGTTTAGGGTTTAGGGTTTAGGGTTTAGGGTTTAGGGTTTAGGGTTTAGGGTTCAAACCCCAAACCCTGTCGTGAGTTACAGGCCCGCCTACAGATCGCATGGAGGTCCAATCGTCTGTCAACATCCTCTTGGCTTCGAAACGGGTATTTTCGAGAATCAGATATTTAGTCTCCAGGGTTTGTGGTTGTACACTAAAAGACTGTGATGAACAGAGGTTTAGAGTTTAATCCTTAGGATTTAGGGCAAGTTTAGAGTTTCAAGGTTCTAAACCCTAAACCCTAAACCCTAAACCCTAACCCTAAACCCTAAACCCCCTACCCCCTACCCGCTAAACCCTAAACCCTAAACCGTCAACTTCCCTGGGGCATCGGCGCGTCGCTTTGGAGACCGCTCTTAGACCGGCTCAAAGACCGCATGCTGCATGGAGCACAAAAACATTAGTCTTGGGGTTTAGGGTTTGGGGTTTAGGGTTTAGGGTGTAGGGTTTAGGGTTTAGGGTTGGTCCACTAATATGGGCGCTTAAATGGGGATCCCTCATGAACTCTGTAAACCCAAGGGCCCATACTTCAGAATCGTTTTAGTCTTAGGGTAGTTCCATGGCTCCTCAATATCCCCTATTTGGTTTAAAAAAATCCTCCAAAAGTACAATGGTTCTTCCTGATAAGGGCAATTCCGGGATTATTGTTCTTTGTTTTTTGGGTGGTTCTTAAACGCAAATAGTAGATATGAGCCCTTGAACGGGGATGGGGACCCCTTATATACCCCTTATATACCCCTTGTATACCCCTTATATACCCCTTATATACCCCTTATATACCCCTTATATATATATATATATACCCCTTATATACCCTATAAGTCCCAAGGGCCCATACTTCAGAACCCTTCAATGAAGGCCGGACCATCACAAGGGCCCATGAAACTGGCCTTAGATCTAGGGTTTAGGGTTTAGGCGGTTTAGGGTTTAGGGTTTAGGGTTTAGGGTTTAGGGTTTAGGGTTTAGGGTTTAGGGTTTAGGCGGTTTAGGGTTTAGGGTTTCCGGCACAAAGGTACCCTGAACAAAACAGGTCACGGGTTCCATTCCCAGGTCGCTGTGCGCGGCAAGCTAGGCGGAATACTATGCCGAGTTTTTGGGGTTTAGGGTTTAGGGTTCAGAGTTTAGGGATCTACGAACCCTTGGATTTGAACTCCCTGGACTGCCTTCGCGTCTTAGGTTGCAGTCAGCCCAAACCATATTCCCTGTATGCCGTCGGGCATGCGAACGCTGAAGTAATTAGGGGGTTTAGGCTTTAGGGTTTAGGGTTTAGGGTGTCGGGTTGCTGCACCGGAAGCCTAAACCTGGATTCTTTCGGCCAACCCTAAACCGGCCTGGACCATAAACTATAAACCCAAGTCGGCTTCTCCCCCCACAGCCGAAGAAAGACTGAGCCCCTGAACTATATGTGGTTTGGGGTTTGGCGTTTTGGGCTTAGGGTTTGTGCTAGGGTTTAGGATTCAGGGGTTTAGGGTGCAGGGTGTAGGATTTTCAAGACCCAGGTCTCGGCGCGGTCGACTGCCTCATGCTGCACCGTCCTCCCAACAGCGACGACCTGCTCGAGGAGGCCACCAGTAGGCTTCGGGTGTTGGGGTGTTGTGTTAGGGTTTGGGGCAACGGGTTTAGGGTTTGGGTTTGGGTTTTCGGGTGTTGGGGTGTTGGGGCGTTGGGTTGCCTTAGGGATTATTGAACAGAGATCCGGCGTTTAGAGCCCGAGTCTGTAGGGCTTTGGGCTTTAGGGTTTCGGGTTCAGGGTTTACAGCCTGACTTCACACCTCAAAGCTCGATGTAGTCTTCAGGTCTGGGCCGTCCTGGAAGCGGAGGCACGTTGGGCGTCAGAGTTTTGGAGGGCTCCAAACCCTAAACCTGTTAACGGTGTAGGGTTTAGGGTTTAGGGTTTAGGGTTTGGCGTCTAGGGTTACAACCCTACACCCCCAGAACCTCCCTAAACCCTTTAACCCTCGGCTGGTCCTGTCAACCCTAAAACCTCAACCCTGAACGCCCCCACCTCCGGCCGGCAGAGGCCGATGATCCCTAAACTTACGGTTTCTTGTTGAAGTCGGGAGATAGGTACCTGACATCCCCCTATATACCAACCCTTAGACCAAACTCGCCTAATGTGGCTGTCCTTCGGGTTGAGGGTTTAGGGTTTAGGGTTTAGGGTTTAGGGTTTAGGGTGGGTCTTTACTTGGGGTGCCCAACACCCAAGGGTACAACCTAAAGGGTCCCAAGTAAAATCCCTAGAAGTTTGGGCCGTAGCTAGGGTGCCGTTTGGGGGTTCATGAGTTCTTATAAGGGTTTAGGGCTTAGGGTTTGGGGTTTCGGGTTTGGGGTCTAGGGTTTAGCATAATTATGGTGAAAAGAGAGGTTTGTTGCCCTATGCTCGGTAGCCCAGTGGTACCCTTTGCGCTTTTTTGTTTTGCTTCTGGGTTCCCTGATGAAGTAGCCATCCCCCAAAACTGTTGCCCTTATTCTAATCTGGTTACTTGGCTGCCAAGTATCTAGGAATCTAGGCTACTCAGAAAACCCTGCCCCGGAACTGCCCAAACTACCCATGGAGCTGCAAGTTCTGAACCCTCAAATCCCAAAACGCCCTGAAACCACAGACCCTGAATCCTGAACCCAATATCGCTCGACCCTCAGACCCTCGAACCCCCAAAACCCTGAAGCCACCCTGTAAGCCCTAGAGCCCCAAAACCCTGAAACCCTAAAACCCTGAAATTAAATCCTTCAGCCCTCAAAATCCCAGGTAATCTTCATCCCTTAAAGAACCAAACTCGTAGAGGCTCATACTTCAGAGTCTTTTACAGAAGGCAAGGGACTATATGAAGGGACCATGTAACTTCCCTTTGATTTTTGCTTGGGGGGGGGGCTTAGAGTTCAGTGGTTTTAATGGGGGCCTTTTCAGAGCGGAGGGATCTTAGGGTACTTTAAAGGCTTGTGATGTGCTCTTAATTGAAAAAGGGTATATAATGGCTATATACAGGGTACCCTCTTAAGGGCCCATACAACCACCCGGTTTAGGGTTTAGGTTTAGGGTTAGGGTTTAGGGTTTAGGGTTTGGGGTTTGGGGTTTAGGGTTTAGGGTTTAGGGTTTAGGGTTTAGGGTTTACGGTACCCTGGTAACATGCACCCCCATACAACCACCCTTAGAAGGGAAGGGAAAGCCGTTGACCCGACAGTCATTTGTAGGGCTCTTAAGGGGGGGGGGGGGAGGTTCAAGGGGGTAGGGTTTAGGGTTTTAGTGTTTTAGGGTTTTAGGGTTTAGGGTTTAGGGTTTAGGGTTTAGGGTTTAGGGTTTAGGGTTTAGGGTTTAGGGTTTAGGGTTTAGGGTTTAGGGTTTAGGGTTTAGGGTTTAGGGTTTAGGGTTTAGGGTTTAGGTGCCTAGGGAAATTTGGGGAAGCTTCAGGAGCCTTGGGGAAGTGGGGAGTTTGCGGGAACCTTGGGATACATACTCCTCTTGAACCCCTAAACCCTCAACCCTCAACCCTCAACCCTCAACCCTAAACCCTAAACCCTAAACCCTAAACCCTAAACCCTAAACCCTAAACCCTAAACCCTAAACCCTAAACCAACCCTAGAAGTCTTTGCCCGAGGTCCATGCCGGGCGCACTCGCTGCCTGGGCGCCTCCAACATCACGGCTGCACAGCTGGAGGCCCGCACTGTAGCGGTTTAGGGTTTAGGGTTTAGGGCTTCTAGGGGTCTTTCTGATACTTGGGAATAAATGCTAATTTTTGGGCACTGTAATTCCTAAGAAACAGATAAAATTGCAAATTTTCGCTAGGGTTCCAAGTTCAGTATAGGAAAGGGGTCGGAATAAGTATTATAATAGCATTCCCTTATGGTCCCTATCCAAATATACTTTAATAATCACCCCGAAAGGCCCATTATAATTATTGAGGCCCTTTTTTTGCGGGCTCCGATTGTTGATAGGGTGGAGGATTTATAGGGTTCAGGGCTTCAGTCTGTGTGCTACCTGCGTAGTTTGCAATTCTGACGCATAGCTTCGGATCAAGGCAAGGCCCTACTTTCAGCAGCACCCTCCGTAACCCCGTTCAGGGTGATTGTGGTTCTAGGGTTTCAAGTCTGGGCCCCGAGTTTTTGGCTGTGCTTGGTTGTGGAGCATATACTGGAGGACGCCTTGGAGGTACATGAAGCATTTTTTTTATACTACTCGCATCAGCTAAAAGAGCCCGCATTTTTGTATGTAGACATAGAAAAAGGAACCCTATGTATGCTCACCAAAAATAATGGGAACATGAACCGAAGGTGTAGAATCGGCGTCGGAGGACCGACAATTCAGGGTCGAGATTGGAGAGGCCCATACGTTAAGGTGCCCCTACACCCCACACCCTAAATCCTCAACCCCAAGCCCTAGGCCCTAAACCCTAAACCCTAAAGCCTAAACCCTAAACCCTAAACCCTAAAGCCTAAACCCTAAACCCTAAACCCTAAACCCTAAACCCCAAACCCTAAACCCTAAACCCTACCCCTTGCCTGTTCTGAAGTATGGGGCCCTTGGGTTAGGGTATACAAGGTGCATATGAGGCTTCCCCCCACTCAGGGCCCATACTAAGGGAAGCACGTAGCTACCGAATCCTTCCCTAAACCCTAAACCCTAAACCCTAAACCCTAAACCCTAAACCCTAAACCCTAAACCCCATACCCTAAACTTGTTTTCGTAGGGTTTAGGGTTCACAGGGTTAGGGCTTTTGATCACCACCCTAAGGGTCCATGTACCTGATTATTATGTACTTGGGCCCTAGATAGGAGGTACGTCAAGGCCCAAGTGTTCACTATCTAGGGACATGGACCTTTAGGGCTACCCCAAAACGAAAAGAAATGGCAGGCCCTGACTCGACCAAGTCGGAAACAGGAGCTTTGGCGTGGGCGCCCGGTTGGTTCTTCAACAGTTTCGGAGTTGAGGGTTGATCAGGGTTTAGGGTTTAGGGGTTTACGGTTTAGGGGTTAAGGGGGGATAGGGATGTACAGTTTAGGATTGAGGGTGTCGCTTTTGGGGCCTTCAGGGTTTCAAAGGCTTGTGTAAAGGGGTTGTTTAGGGTTTAGGGTTTAGGGTTTAGGGCTTGAGCAACTGTTAAACCTTTGTCGCCCTAGTAAGCTCAGCCAAGCAAGCCAAGCCCGGGAAACTTATCTTCCTTCGATGTCCTTGTCGTAGTGTTTGGGCTGAAGAGTATAGGGTTGGTGGTTATGTAGGGTTTAGGGTTTAGGGTTAGGGTTTAGGGTCTAGGGTCTAGGGTCTAGGGTTTAGGGTTCAGGGTTTAGGGCAACCAGTGTTTTTGCGTAGGCAATGTCTGCCAGTTGCAGCCGAAGTGCTGAGGCCAGCCTTGGTGCAGCTCAAGTGCTCGCCCTTCCACCAAGGCTGAGACACAGTGTGGATTTCAATTTCCCCTAAACCCTAAACCCTAAACCCTAAACCCTAAACCCTAAACCCTAAACCTCAAACCCTAAGCCCTAAACCCTAAACCCTAAACCCTAGACCCTAAACCCTAAACCCTAACCACAAGCCGAAATCCTAAAGCTCACTTTAGGATCTTGGCTAGACTGTAAAGGGTACGGTTTATTCGCTGGCGGGGGGGGGGGGGGGGGGCGCCGTGGGTACCTTTCTCCAGCGCTGTTTACGGTTTAGGGGTTTAGGGTTTAGGGTTTAGGGTTTAGGGTTTAGGGTTTAGGGTTTAGGGTTTAGGGTTTAGGTTTTGGGGTTCAACCCTAAGGCTCCAGGGACCCTCCTACAGAGGGACCGGTACCTCCTAATGAGGGCTCTGGGGTCTCAATTCCTAAGGGTTTGAGGGCCCAAGAGCCTTAGGGAAGTTCACCTACAAGCCTGATGTCTTTTGCATGTCAGCGGCTGCTCGTAGGCGATGGGGGCAGAGGACCTAAATGCCATGGTTCGGGGCCGTATCCCACTTCATCCCGTTCCACCCCCCCCCCCTCTCAAACCATTCCTAGAAAAGTTCGGGAGGTGTTGTCATGGGGGCTGGAAGCCATAGACCCCAAACCACAAACCCGAATCCCTCAACCCTAAACCCTAAACCCTCAACCCCTAAACCCTGAACCCTAAACCCTAAACCCTAAACCCTAAACCCCTAAGCACAGCACCTTAACACCCCAACCCCGTTTGCACATCTTGCACGTGTGGGATCAAGTTTGATCAACCTTTGGTGGTGGGATCTTGTTGGGGTTTAGGGTTGATAGGGTTGATAGGGTTGATAGGGTTGATAGGGTTGATAGGGTTGATAGGGGTGATAGGGGTTGATAGGGTTGATAGGGTTGACAGGGTTGACATGGGCTAATCGGGTCAATAGGGTTAGTAGGGTTAGTAGGGTTAAGTCGGATGAATCGGGTTAATCGGGTTCGGGGTCAGAACACCAAGCACGGCTGTCCAGCGCTGACACTAAACCCTAAACCCTAAGCCCTAAACCCTAAACCCTTAACCCCTCAACCCTAAGCATACTTTGCGTTCCAGGTACGTACATGGAGGAAACTGTGGCCCAAGCTCCTTCCTCGGGCGCTCAAACCCTACACCCTAAACCCTAAAAGGTGGCAAGAAGACACCAGACCAAACCCTAAACCCTAAACCCTAAACCCCAAACCCAAAACCCTAAAACCCACTGGGATCGAGAGACTCTGACAAGTTCTCGGGAGACATCGGGCACGGTCGGCGACAAAAGCCGCCTGCCACGAAGCCAGGGTTGCACGTGTCCTAGGCGCCGTGTTCGACAGCGACTTCGTCATGAAAGGGCAAGACATCCTCACCGTGGCCGGCGGTGAGCGGGTCATTTCAAGGCCAGGATGGGAAGTTGTCGACGTTCTATCACGAATGTCCCCATCTCAAGGTCTTGCCGCCGACGTTCAGAGTCGTTGGCATGTGCGTCATAGACGACATGCTTGTCGAAGTCGACTTCGAAACCCTAAACCCTAAGCCCTAAACCCTAAACCCTAAACCCACAAGCCCTCCCCCCTTCTAAACCACCGCTAAACCCCTCTTGGGAGTTGAGGGTTTATTGTTTAGGGACTAGGGTTTAGGGATCCTAACCCTAAACCCTAAACCCTAAACCCTAAACCCTAAACCCTAAACCCTAAACCCTAAACCCTAAACCCTAAACCCTAAACCCTAGCCCTAAACCCTAAATTTAGGTTCATCCCCGAATCCCTCAACCCCTCAGCCTGAAGCCCGTAACCCCAAACCTGCAACCTCGGATGGAGCTTCCAACCCTCGAAAAGGCGGCTACTTCGTGGATTCCCCGTCTGGACTGACGAGTCTGTGGCATCAGCTGCGCACCAAGCGAGCCTTCGATGACAAAATCGTAACAGATGTGGGGTTTAGGGTTTAGGGTTTAGGGTTTAGGGTTTAGGGTTTAGGGTTTAGGGTTTAGGGTTTAGGGTTTAGGGTTTAGGGTTTAGGGTTTAGGGTTTAGGGCGGCCGAACCCGAAGCCCTGAACCCTAATCAACCTAAGCATCCCAAACTAAACCCTAACCGATAAAACCCGAATTAGGGTTTAGGGTTTAGGGTTTAGGGTTTAGGGTTTACGTAGGGTTTAGGGTTTAGGGTTTAGGGTTTAGGGTTTAGGCGAGGGAAGACCGCGGAACCATTGCTGTGAGGGGGAGAGACGCTGAAGCCTTCAGACCCTGAAATCCCTAACACCCTATAAACTCTGAAACTCCTACCCTTCAGAAGCCCTAAATCTGCACCCTGAACCCTGAACCCAAAACCCTAAGCACCCCCCCCCCCCCCCTGTGGGCCCCTGAATCCGTCCTACCTTCAGAAGCCCTACGCAAACCCCAAAATCTGTACCTGAAACCCCTCCATCCTGCGACAAAAAACCCCTCGAAGCCACCCTAAACCCTAAACCCTAAACCCTAAACCCTAAACCCTAAACCCTAAACCCTAAACCCTAAACCCTAAACCCTAAACCCTAAACCCTAAACCCTAAACCCTAAACCGTGGCCTGCTCTGCCCAGGAGTGGTCCCAGTGGGGATTTCCCTCTTCAACCCCCTCCACTCCTGCGTCAGCCCGCGCTTTTGCCGCAAGGGGGGTGGGGGGGAGGGCTATGGACCCTAAACCCCAAACCCTAAACCCTAAACCCTAAACCCTAAATCCTCTCACCCTAAAACCCTGAAACCTGGGGGTACTTTTTGGGGGGTGTAGAGGTGCTTGGGTTTTTGAAGCTTGCGGGCTCTAGGGGGTACTCAGCGTTTCGGGGCCTACACAAGGGGGTCGGGGGGCCCAATTTTGGGGCTTGGGGTCGTTTAGGGTTTAGGGTTGAGGGTTTACGGTTTAGGGGGCTAAAGCCGAAACAATGGCCGTGAGCTTTGAGTACTGTGAACCTCCAAGTAGGGCTCCCTCCTTAGACCCCTAACCCGAAAACCTAAACCCTGAACCCTATACCGTATAACCTTAAACCCTGAGCCCTAAACCCTAAACCCTAAACCCTAAACCCTAAACCCTAAACCCTAAACCCTAAACCCTAAACCCTAAACCCTAAACCAAGAGGAGGGCCAGGAGGGCAGTCCCAGAGCCATGACTATGGAACGCTACTTGGAGGATCGGGGCACTCGGGGGCACTTGAGGTTTCGGGTTTAGGCTTTCGGGTCGAGGGTCTTAAGTACCTTAGCTGGGCTTATAAGTAGCTGTACGTATAATTGACTTACTTATAGCCCCACTTACTAAGTCCCCTCATCCTTTGAGTAGCTCCGTGGCCCTGAGACGGCGTGGGGTGGGATAAAAGGTATTAGATGGCCCTGCACTATCGGGCCATGGCTGCTCCTCGCATTCCACGAAGCTGTCGAAACGAGTCTGCATCCCAACCTAGCTTCTGCACCATTGCAAAGCAAACCCCTAACCCTAAACCCCAAACCCACAAACCCTAACTCCAAAACCCTAAACCATGGCCCTAAATCTACGAATTGCTTAAGACCCCCCCAAAAAGTATATATATATATATATACTTTTTTTTACTTCTAAGGAACGTCTATATATATATATAGATTATGATATTATAAATGTTGGAGGCTTCTTAAGCAACTAGTAGTGGCGAGCCCCAAGGTTGGAAGAGCCGCTGATTTCCGCGTGGGCTGAAGACCTCGGCTGCTCTTCTGCGGAACTGTCGGCACCCGAGTCTGTCAGGGTTTAGGGTTTAGGGTTTAGGGTTTAGGGTTTAGGGTTTAGGGTTTAGGGTTTAGGGTTTAGGGTTTAAGGTTTAGGGTTTAGGGTTTAGGGTTTAGGGTTTAGGGTTTAGGGTTTAGGGGCTTCGGGGTTTAAGGGTTTTTTGCTTTCGGGATTGCGGGTTTCAGGGTGTGGGGTTTTGGAGTTTAGGGTTGAGGTGGGGAGTTGGGGACTTAGGGTTGTATAGTGCCATGTATTGCAGAGCCCTCGCAAGAGACCAGCGGGGACCAGCGTTTAGAGAACTAGCTGACCACATGTCTACTATTTGCTTAAGAACCCGCAAACAATGAAAATAATCATCCCTATATTGCCCTTATCAGGAAGAATGTGTTTTTTTGGCGGGGGGGGGGGGGGGTTCTAGAGCAAATCGTAGATGTAGGTTCCGAACATGCGATATTATTTTGAGATGTTCCCCTCTTTTGCCAACGGTCCTTAAAAGGGATGATCGTGGAGGGTACTCTAATCCCTACGATTATAATCTCTATTAAGGACTGTTGGTATAAGGGGGAACATCCCAAGGTATCATCCCGATCCTTGAGTCTTGTTACGTTTAAGGGTAGCTTAGAGGCGCTGATTCTGCTGCATCTTTAAAAGCACCAAGCCTGAAGCCCTACACCGGAAACCTGCATCCATCCCCCTTTTTGCGGTTGAAGCTCTGTTGTATCAGGGTTTAGGGTCACTGCCAATTTATGCTGTAGGAAAAAAGCCCGCGTTCAAGCGCCGGGGACACGCTTCATGCGACATATTCTTTGTAAGAATCTTACGCTCGCAAAGAGTATGAGTAGGTGTTGGATGCCGATAAAGAAAAGTATATCTTGGGATGTTCCCCCTTATACTACCAGTCCTGTAGGCATTATAGTAACCCCCTTTTATCATCCCTATTAGGGACTGTTAGCATAAGGGGGAACATCCCAACCCTAAGCCCTAAGCCCTAAGCCCTAAGCCCTAAACCCTAAACCCTAAACCCTAAACCCTAAACCCTAAACTCACACCCTGCACCCTAATCTGAAGCCCGGGGGTATCCTTGTGCCTGGACAGCTGTGCATGAGGCTGGCGCACTGGTGCCGCTCGGCGGGCGTCCGAGCCGCAAAGACGGGTGACTGAAGAAGAAGGGGCCATAGGGTTTAGGGTTTGGGGTTTAGGGTTTAGGGTTTAGGGTTTCGATTTTGAACCGACGCTCTAAGCTTTGAACTGCAACCGGCCCCTCCCCCGCTCCCACCCCCTTCCTTGTGCGATCAGGTACATCGGGTCCCCACGTGTAGGGATGGAATAATATTGGCAGGGATCCCTTAAGTCGTCATTCATTGTGTCCATGTACATTGAAAGTATATATGCTTGGCATTAGAGGGCTTCCTATATGGGGGTGTCCGAACTTAGGGGTACCTTGTTGGGGTCCTTCTGATAAGGGAATCCTGCTATTCGGGGACTATGCTAGGGTCCCCTATTTTCGTAAACCCCATATACAGGCCGAACTTTATAAGCTATAACAGGTTCACGGACCCCTTTGGGTTGTTGTTCACACTAAGAACGCCCTTTTCGAGCTCTTGCCACGCCCTTTTCGAGCTCTTCTTGCCTTGCAATGCTATACTTATTTCCGAAGCCCCAAGCCCCAAACCTTAAACCCCAAGTCCTAAACCCTAAACCTTAACCCTAAACCCTAAACCCCTAAGCCCTGGGATTGCGTCGTCAAGGCGTCTGCCCTCTACTACGCTGCGCCCCACACCATGCCGTCACGTTCCGGCGCGAGGTGGCTTGGGTTTAGGGTTGGGTTTAGGGTTTAGGTTTAGGGTTTAGGGTTTAGGGCTTAGGGTTTAGGGTTTAGGGTTTAGCGTTTAGGGTTGAGGGTTTAGCGTTTACAGTTTAGGGTGTAGGGTTTAGGGTTTGGGGTTTGGGGTTTGGGGTTTAGGGCTAGGGTTTAGGGCTTGGCAGTTGGCTTTTTTGGGGCTTCAGAGTTCAGGTTTACGGGATTCGGTATTTTGGCTCAGACTCTCAATTCGACTGTGGAAGACTCTAAGCTTGAATGCAGGAAGGATCCCGGGCTTGTGGTGGTTTGGGGTTTATAAGTAGCAGAGTTTTGGGTTTAGGTTCATTTAGGTGGCCCGAAGAACTCTCCCATTTCAAGCCCTATATATCAGCCGGACGGTAACCCTTATTAGCAGGTTTCCTCACTCCTCAGTAACTCTGGGGTCCATCTAAGTAAGACTTAAAGCAAACTTAAAGCAACAGCAACAATGACGATTTTGGGGTGCATTCAGGGAGTGTGTTGGACCCCATGTGGGATCCGTGTGATGAAGGCTGTGGGTTCTGGAGCTCACTTAGAGTCTTTGAAGTTAATGGGACAATTGGATAGCCGAGGTTGAGGTCGCAATCCTGCTGACAATCCCCCTTAAGTGGCCTTGCATAGGATATAGCTTATTCATAGGTTGAGTTCTAAACCGTCAAGCAGGAGTAGGTAACCCTCTTCAGACCTCCAAGACTCTATGCGTGCCTTCACTACTAGGCCAGTACTAAAACCCTGAACCTGTGAGCCTATAACGGCGTGTAACCCCCGACTGTCCCACGCCTTTCTCCCGCCAATTAATGCTTATCCCAAAGGTCCATACCCATGCAGCCCAATACACGTTCAATAGGGAATATACCTTAGATCATATTTTGGATCGCTAGATAAATTAAGTTCATATTCCTTAATTAAGGGATGTCGGGCTCTTTGGGTATACGCTTAGGGCTCTAGATGGCAGCTTAGATGTAATATTAGGAATTATTCCGACCACTATTTTGCTTTGGGCGTGCGCAGTTGGAGGATCCCGCGATAAAGCCCTCTGGACCTCGAAGACCCGAAATCCCAGCCTCCGAAACCCTAAACCCAAAAAGCCCTCCTCCCGAAGGTCCACTTGCGGCCTCCGCTCGCTCCTTGGCCTCGTTTATAAGAAAGCCCTTGCGGATTTCCAGAAAGTGTTTAGGGTCTAGGGCCTAGGGTTTAGGGTTTAGGGCTTAGGGTTTAGGATTTAGGGTTGGATTTCATGCAGGGTTTAGGATTTGGGGTTCAGGGTTTAGCGTTTAGGATCCAAGCCCTCAGAGCCCTCGAGGGTTCAGGGTTTCGGGTCCAAAGAGGGCTCTCAGCTACAGCATGCAAGCGTCAATCAGATGTTTTTCTTATAGCAATCCCGGATCGACGAGATTGCCATCATCTTACGTTCTGCATGGAGGGCCCATCTGTGGCACAAGTATAAGTCCCTCTAAACCACAGGGGCACCCTGGTTCTTCCTATGTTACTCTCGGATCTAGTATTTGCATGGCTTTCAAGGAGGATGGATAGGATTCCCCCGAAGCACACCTATAACCTGTCCAGGTAGAAGTTTCCGATGATACCCAAGCCCTAAACCGTAAACCCTAAACCCTAAACCCGAGCTATTTATGTCGTCCACAGTCTCAAGATCGGTGAGGTTGCAGCCTTGTCCAGCCTCGCCTGCCTGACGGAAACGCATCCTGACAAGAACGCTGGCTGTAATATAGGGGTCGCCCCAAACCCTAAACCCTATACCCTAAACCCTAATAGTATTCTAAAAGGGTTCTTAAGGGCGGGGGGGTTCAAGGGCGGTATGTAACCAAGGTTCCCTAGTACTCCCCACTGCCCCCTAAGTTTCCCAAAGCTTCCCCAAGGTTCCCTAGGTACCTACCCCTCCACCCCCCCCGCCCCTTAAGAACACTGTATACAATATTCCCTTGTGGTGCTTTAACCCGCAAAACCGTGTTCTAACTATTGAAGCCCCCATGTTGGTGCGGTTTCGGGTTTAGGGTTTAGGGTGCAGGGTTGAGGGTGTGCGGTCGGACGTCTCGTTGAAATCCAAACCCTGAACTCTAAACCCAGAGCGTCGGTCAGAGATGTGCTGACAGAAATCGTGACAGCACACGAAGTCGAGCTACCTTGCACGGAATGTTGGGGGGCTCGACGAGGAGGAGGCGTGTTTTCTTTTACCAATCGCAGGCAACAAGATCATGTTGGGGCTGGGGACTTGTGCACCGGGTTTAAGTCACCACTTGGCTCTAAGAATTCACCCTGAACCCTAAGGGTTCATGTACCAGCACACTCCTCATGGGCGCAAGTCTTTGATAAGCATTCGGGTTTAGGGCTTAGGGTTTCGATGAAACCCAGTAACACCAGGGTGTAGTGTTTAGTGTTCAGGGATGCCAAATTCAACTGGCGCCCTCGTCGTTCCTTGTGTTTTTTGGTGTTTAGGATTCGGGAAGCTTAGAGTTGAGAGTTGGGGGGTTCTACAGGGTGGGGCCCCCTAGTTATAAGTAGAGTTATAAGGGCCCTAAATTGGGTTATAAGGACCCTAAGTTAGGTTATAAGTCCCTTAACTACAGTTAGTATAGTAAGGGGGCTCCACCCTGTAGGTGCCCTCATTCATTCAGTCCAATGAAAGCAAGCATGGGGGTTTAGGGTTTAGGGTTAAGGGTCCCTAGCTCATTCCAACTATTGTTTGCAATGCTTCCTCGAGAATCGGAATCACTGTTCCCTCTTTGCACGTTGACATGAGGGTTTAGGGCTGCGGGGCTTGGGGGGTCTTTAGGGGTGTAGAGTGCTCCCTTGCTAGGCATATTATAGGGGTCGGAAGAATTACTAGTGGTATTCCCCTATGGTCCCTTTGCAATGTTTCTGTAATACACCCCCCCCCCCCTCCCCCTCCCAAAAAAATCAAAACCTGCTCTAACAATTTAGGCCCTATTAGCAGACAAATCCTGTGTCACTGCAACCCTAAACCCTATATCCTAAACCCTAAACCCTAAACCCCGAAACTCTCCTAAACCCTAAACCCTAAACCCTAAACCCTAATTACACCCTAAACCCTAAACCCTAAGGTCATTCTGCCCTGCCCTCCGCGACGACCTCGCCCTGCGCAAGAGTTGCAGCTGTGCTGTCAAGCGTACCCGAAACTCTCCGAACCCTCAAACCATAAATCCTCAAACCCTAAACCCTGAACCCTAAACCCTAACCCTCAAGTCCTAAGCCCTAAACTCTGAACCTTCAGGTTTTTTGGGGCTTTGGGGCGATGTGGGACTTTCTCGACTTCGGCTGGTGGTTCGGAAAGGATCCCGAACGCCAGAAGAATCCGCAGAGTCATAGAGATCAACGCAACCCCTTCGAAAAACAACACAAAGAAAAAAGACATGAAACAACCAAAAACAACAATCATGATAATAATCACAATAATCATAATAACAAAAACAGAAGTATTAAGAATGATAGCAACAAGAATAATGATAATCATATTAATAATAGTATTAATAATAGTATTAATAATAGTGTTAATAATCATGAAATAATACGAATAGTAATAAGAATAAGAAGAAGAATAAGAAGAATAATCATAGTAATAGTAATCGTAATAATAACAGATACAACATCAAAGCTCAACCCTCAGCCCTGGAATTAAGCCCCGAGCCCTGAACCCGGAACCGCTCCAAAACCCAAAAGCCCTTAAGCCCTAAACCCTAAAATCCCTAGTGCCGTTCAACCCCAGAAGGCCACAAACCCTAATTGCTTAAACCTACGACCCTAAAAGAAACATAAACACCCTAAGGCCCTCAAACCCTCACACCCTAAAAGTCATGACAAACCCTAGAAGAACTAACACAACTAACACCCTAGCAAATCCAAACCCCCAAACCCTAGAGCCCTTAACCTGAGCCTCAAACCCAAAACCCTTCAACCCCTAAACCCCAAATGCTTCAACCCTAAATCCACAAACCCCAAATCCCCAGAACCTTCAAACCTAAATCCTGCAACCCTAAATGCTTAAACCCTTAAACCCTAAGCCTAAACTGCCTAAACCCTACACCCTAAGCCCTAAACCCGAACCCTAAGCCCGAAACCCTAAACCCTTCTCCCTACTCCCTAAACCCTAACCCTAAACCCTATACCCTAAAGCCTGAGCCTCAAGTCTCCAAGGCAAGCGCACCGCGCAGCGTGGCGACAGCCTTTACGGCAGGCTGGCAGAGGCAAGCTGCAGGTCTTTTGGTATTTTAAACTCTTTTTTGGGTTCAGGGTTTCGGGTTTTTGGGTTTTGGGTTTTGGGGTTTTAGGGTTTTAGGGTTTTGGGGTTTTGGGGTTTTAGGGTTTTAGGGTTCTAGGGCTTTATTTTGGGGTTTAGGGCCTCTGCAAGGTGTGGGTCCGTTGGGGCTGGAAAGCCTTTTTGGGGGTCCAGGGGTGTATGGGCTTAGGGGCTTAGGAGTTTCGGGTTTAGGGTTTATGGTTTTGGGAATTTTGGGGTTTTGGGGTTTAGGGGTTTAGGGGTTTAGTAAAGGGTGGGTCGTCCTAGATCCCTGGCAAGGAGTCAAGTTTGTACGCCTCGGGAGTTGTCGCCGACTCGTTGAGGTCAAGCTTGGTCATCACGGGTTCCCCTACTACCCCCCTCTATACTACTTACCCCCCCCAGATTCCCCCTATAATTAAGGCTATTTGGGGATAAGTAAGCTTGGTTAAGGCTAAGGCTATTTAAGGGGGACCTAGGGGGGTAGTATAGGGAAACCCATGGAGTCAAAGCTGCCACGGAGTCGTGGCTAGCTCACGCAACATTCACACTGCATTTTTGTTGGCGCCCCTTGGCCAGGCAGCCCACCAAAGACAGCATATCCTCCAGCCGGCACAAGCACTGGTAGACCGGGGAATCGCACAGCAGCATGAATGCTGGACCATAGATCGAGCGATCTACGGTCTCCGAAAATCGCCGTGCTGGTGGACGGATTTTGGGAACCGGTCGCTCCTGAAACAACCAAGACGTTCCATCGATCCGGAAACCATGGGAGAGCAGCCAGCCTAACCCCGAGGGTGGTTGCATACTGTGGTCCCGTACGTATATAAGGGGTATACAATGGGCCCCCACTTAAGGGCCCAGTATTCAGGCGGCCCACCCCGGAAACTTTTGGCGCCCAGAAGTCGCAAGCATCCGGAGATCAACACCTTCAAGCCAGAAGTCATCAGCATCCACGCAACATTCTTTGGTCCTGTGGGTTGAGGGGCTACTCTACTACGTATGGGGTACTGCACAAGGGTTTAGGGTTCAGGGCTCCTACGTTACATCTGAGGCCTCAAATCGATGGACCCAAGGGGTTGACTATGAGTTTCCTCGTCAAGGTTCACGGGCTTAGAAGGAGCTGCCAGGTTTGGGGTTCAGGGTCGAGGGTTTAGGGGTTCAGGACCAGTTCGCTGCTGGGAAACAGTGTTCCAGTTGTTGTTGGCAGTGGGCATATAAAGGTGACAGGGTTTGGGTGTTTAAAGGGCCTTTGGCTCAGAAATGCTTTTGGCGCAAGACCATGCACGCGCTAAAGACTACGTTACATGCCCACAGACGCGATTTGAAGGGGGGGGGGGGGGGCTTAAGAACATCTGACTTAAAACCTAAACCCTAAGTCCAAAACCCTATACCCTAAACCCTAAACCCAAAACACGCAGGTGCACAGCCTCAAGTCGCAAGAGGGGCACTTCGGCCTGAGGGGACCTGCAAACCTTCTGTGGTCTAGGGGCGAGGGCGGGGGGGTGTAGGATTGATGGTGTTGATTATAATGAGCCGTATCCCCCCAATATAAGCCCTACTATATGCCATAAAGCCCCTATAGACTCCTAGGTAGACCCCTAAAGCCCTAAACCCTAAACCCTGAACCCCTCCTTTAGTTCCTTGGCTGCACAAGGTTCAGGGGTACAAACTTGATGGTCTCCACGATACAAACGCCCCTTCAGGCTTTAGGGCCTTAGGGCCTTAGGGCTTTAGGGCTTTAGGGCTTTAGGGCTTCAGGGCTTTAGGGCTTTAGGGCTTTAGGGCTTTGGGGCTTTAGGGCTCTAGGGCTTCAAAATTTGGGGGTTTTGGGGGTTTAGGGTTCAGGGCGACCTGGACCCCCCTCAGACCTTCGGCTACGAGCCCCAGACTTTAAATTTCGGAATAGAAAGTCTTTCTAGGGGTCGGGGGGGGGGGGCACCAGGTATTAGGGAGTCTTCCCCAAGCCCTTAACCCGAAATCTTAAACCCTAAGCCCCTAAACCCTAGACCTGAGAGTGCCTCGGTTCTTAGGCTTGTTGGTGGGGGGGGGCCTAAACCCGAAACCGTAAATCCTGAACCCTTTGAATTTGGGGTCTGGGATGGTCTGAGTCTTGAAGTTTCGGGGGGGGGGGGGGGGGGGTTGCGCTGAAGCTGTTCAAGAGGGTAGTACTATGCATTGAATATTTTTTGGTTCTGGGTTTAGCGTTTTTATGTATTTGCCTGACGGTTCCCCTCCCTTGATCGAACGGGTTTGTTCAGTGAGGGGGTTTGGGGTTCAGGGCTTAGGTTTTTGGGCTTGGGGTTTAGGGTTCATGGCTTAGGACTTAGGGCTTTGGGCTTAGGGCTTAGGGCTTAGGGTTAGGGTTGGGGGGGTGGGCTTAGGGGTGGGGGAAAGGGGCTGAGGTGCGGTTTTGTGCTTGCGTGGTTGCTTCCCCTGGTGTTTACAGAGTCTGTTGAGCTGGAGCAGACGTTTTTTTTTTTTTTTGTTGCGCTTTATGCTGGTCAGGCCGCTTGCTCCATGGTGTCAACAGTACACCCTAAACACGCACTCAAAGTTAGGGTTTAGGGTTTAGGGTTTAGGGTTTAGGGCTTAGGGCTTAGGGCTTAGGGTTTAGGGCGTAGCCCTAAACCCTAAACCCTGAATACGCACTTAGGGCCCCTATTTAGTTCCCAGCGACTCCCTCCTTTCGTCTCATGAACCTGACGCACCTGGCCCTGATAAGGTTTAGGGTTTAGGGTGTAGGGTTCAGGGTTTAGGGTTTAGGGTTCAGGGTTTAGAGTTAGGGCTTTGGGATCTTGAGGCTTAGGGTTTAGGGTGTGGGGTCAAGGACTTGGAGACTTGAAGTTTATGGCTTCGGGTTAGTAGCTCCGGGTATCTTCGGGTAGGTACAAGGGCCCCCCAGCATGGGGCCTTAATTGAGAGGCCTGTTGTCGTTGGCAGGAGAAGCACGACAAAGCATCCGGTGGATCTTTGAAGATCAAGCTTGCTGTGACCACTCAGTGGGACAAGATGATGGGCAGGATGCTTTGCTGGGAAACTGGATGTCACGCACTTGAAGGACATCTTCCTGGGCGTGGAGGAAGGTCAGGACGAAATTCTGACCCAGCATCTCCGGTCTACTGTGTGCACCTTGAAGCAGTTCGCCGAGTTCGGTGTCCTTTTCGAACACTTTCCCCGGAGATTCTGCTTGCCTCAAGATGAGCACTATTGCCATGAAGTCCTTCGGGAGATCCCTAAACCCTAAACCCTAAACCCTAAACCCTAAACCCTAAACCCTAAACCCTAAACCCTAAACCCTAAATTAAGCTGCGGAACGCTCCTGGAAGATGTGCCCTGAACAAAGCAAGGAACCCTAAACCCTAAACCTTAAACCCCAAACCCTCACTTGTATCCTAGAGAGAGCAAAGGCAGCTCCTCAATGGACAGCGCGGGAGGATCCTCAGCTTTGAGGAGGAGCTTGTCTTGGAGTTTTGGGGGTTTTGGGTTGAGGGCTTCTGGGTCTTCCCCATTAAAAACACACACGCACAAACACACACACAAACACACACACACACACACACACACACACACACACACACACACACACACACCCACACACACACACACACACACACACACACACACACACACACACACACAGGTGTTAGGGCTAGGGTTTAGGCCTTAGGGCTTGGGGTTTAGGATCTGCCTCATGTTTAACAGGGACGCCAAAAGGATATCACAGATTGTGTGTAGATCCCCAAGCTTGATCTTCAACTTAGATCGACCCTCTTGTGCATTTGCAGAGACTGACGAGCCCTAAACCCAGAAGAAAGTTTGGATGTATCGGGTTGAAGGGCATAACTAATGAGTGCCAGCCACCCTAAGCCCTATACCCTAGACGCTGCTTATGTCCTATCTAAAGCCTGTATTCTATAGAGTGCCTGTATGACCTTGAACCCTAAACGCTGTACACCCTACGACAAGCCTCAGCCTTATTGCCCCAAAGCCTGAACTCTAAATGTAAAGCGCTTGAAGCCCTACTTGGAGGTTCAGGTTACTGAGTGAAAACCCAATTCTACTTATATGAGCCCATTTTTGTACCCCAATATGGCTGATGGTTGGGTTGTAAGTGATAAGTGCACTTCAAATGGGATTTTACGACAGTAGGGGTATCTTATTGGGGTCCCGATTATAAGGGAATCCTACTATATGGGGGTCTATGTTCGGGGTCCCTTATTTTCGTAAACCCCTACTTGGGTTAAGAAGTACCATGAACCTCCAAGTAGGTGGACCCTGAACCCTAAACCCTAGACCCTGAACTCCAAAAGGAAGGGGTGCTGCAGAACCTGCAAGTGAAACCTTGAAGCAGAACCTGTGACCCACTCGACGAGCCCCGTGCCAGGACCCAAAAACCCTAAAAGAGTTTAGGTTTTAGGGTTCAGGGTTCAGAGTTCACTAAACCCTAAACCCTAAACCCTAAACCCTAAACCCTAAACCCTAAACCCTAAACCAGAGTTAGCATACCTCATGTACTGCTCAGCAGCTTCGGGGTCCGGAAGGGGCCCGTGTAGAAGGGGACAAGAGGAAAGGACCACAAGCGCTGATTGCTTAGGCACCGACGCGCCAGGGTTTAGGGTTTAGGGTGTAGGGTGTAGGGTGTAGGGTGTAGGGTGTAGGGTTTAGAGTTTCTTGCTTACCTAAGGGTATTTTCATGGTCCCTGAATATGGCCCCTTACTTCCCTTAAAGGGTTCCGATGTATGGGCCCTTGGGTTGTCTAGGGCATACATTGCCTTTTCAGGGCCCCTATGAAGAGACCATGTAACTGCCCCGATAAAGACTGTAGGCGTTAGGGCTTCTTCCTTACCAGGCAGCATCAAGTACCTGGCATTCGTGACCCGATCTCGCTGGCACAAGACGCTCCCTGGCCCCCGGTGGGGCCCTGGTCGAAACCCTAAAACCCCGGTTTAGGGTTTAGGGTTTAGGGTTTAGGGTTTAGGGTTCAGGGACCCTAAACTAAACCCTATATAGCCCTGAGCCCTGAAAGCTAAACAGATGTCGGATCCTTTATAGCCCCCTTTAAAGCAAAAAGGGCACCTTTCCATTCCTAGGTTCCTCCTGGGTCTAGCCCTAAACCCTAAACCCTAAACCCTAAACCCTAACCTCTCTATCGTGACCTAAACTCGAAACCCTAAACCCTAAACCTAAACCCTCCATCGTGACCTAAACCCTAAACCCTGAAACCTAAACCCTAAACCCTAAACCCTAAACCGTGACATACACCCTAAACCCTAAACCCTAAACCCTAAACCCTAAACCCTAAACCCGAAACCCGAAACCCGAAACCCGAAACCCGAAACCCGAAACCCTAACCCTAAACCCTAAACCCTAAACCCTGATTAGGAGACCGGGCGTTGGCAAGTCGACCTCCTGGCCGGTTCCCGGAAGATCCGCGTCTCGGGACGCGCTTTAGGTTTGGGGTTGACGGTTTAGGGTTTAGGGTTTAGGGTTTAGGGTTTAGGGCTTAGGGTTTAGGGTTCAGGGTTCAGGGTTTAGGGTTCAAGGCCTAAACCCAAAAACCTAAACTTCACACCAAGGTTTTGGAGTTTAGTTTTTTAGGGTTGAAGTCCTGAGCCTTCATCAGCCCTGTTAGGATGCAGGTGCTGGGCGGGCATGGGCTACGCGGTCTCCTTAGATCATGGGTTTCCCTACTACCCCCCCTCTTTTTCTACCCCCCCCCCCCTAGGTTCGCCCTATAATTAAGGCTAGTTAGGGATAATTAAGCTTAATTAAGGTTATTTAAGGAGGGAACCTAGGGGGGGGGGAGGGGTAGTACCCAAAGACTCCAATGTCCCTTAATTAAGGAATATACCTTAAATTATAGTAGGATCCCTGATACGATTTAAGGTATATGCCTTAATTACGGGATATTGGAGTCTCTGGGTATAGAGGGGGTAGCAGGGGAACCCATGACCTTAGAGTTTGAGGCTGCAGGGTTCGAGGTCTTAGAGTTTCGGGCACTAGCTTGTTGGTGTGTTACTGTAACTTTAGGGTTTAGGATTTAGGGTTCGGGTCTAGGGTTTAGGGTTTAGGGTTTAGGGTTTAGGGTTTAGGGTTCAGGGTTTAGGGTTTAGGGTGTGCTGTACTGTAACTTTAGATTGTTAGCCTTTTGGGGTTTATGGGGTTTCATAGTAGGGCAGCTGCAAACTTAATTTGTAGGTACCCTACTAAGTGCAGCCAAGTCAGGTCAGAAGAGCGGTTGGAGTTTGAAATTCAATGAAAGGAGGCTCAGGGTTCAACCCCCAGTTTTCCACTCTCATGTTCTCAACCCTAAACCGAAGTTTTTGAACCCTAAACACTAAACCCTAAACCCTAAATCCGATTTCCCAAACCCTAAACCCCAAACCCTGTCAGCTGAAACCCAGGCGGCGCCAATCTTGCCCTCATAGATGAGGGTGCTGCAGCGGCTACAGCCGAGAGTGCTGGAGCATTTCTGAAGGACCATTGTGTGTGTGTGTGTGTGTGTTTTTTTGGGGGGAGCGGGCAAGATTTACGGTGTTCAGGGTGTTGAGGATATTTAGGGTTCTTCGGTTTGGGGTATCAAGGACATTCACGGTTTAACAAAAATTAGGGTTGGTCGGGTTGGCCCTCACAGCAGTCCTTTCCGTGGAAACCCTAAACCCTAAACCCTTCAACCCCCAAAGCAGCGCCAACAACACTGGCATACGTGTCCCTTCTCTCATGCAGGGAAAACCCTAAGCCTTGTAAACCCTAAACCCTAAGCCCTAAACCCTAAACCCTGCTCATTCAGTGTTTTGGGATTCGGGCCTCAAGGTAGAGGGGGGTCGACTAGGAAGCCCTTTATACTTAGTAAGTCTACTTACGTAGTATCCCCTGCCCCTAGAAACCCCACTATAACTCCACAACCCAACTTACCCCTACTTACTAAGTCAGAAGAGCTTCCAAGCAGGGATTTGGGTTTAGGGTCGAGGGTTGAGGGTTGAGAGGCTTTTACCCGCCTTGGTGGAAGGTACGAAAGTGCCTTTGATCAGATGAGGTCGTAAGATAAAAAACAGCATGTCGCTCCCTTACAGGGGTGGTTGTTAAAATTATGCTCCCTTCTTGGATCCCTATTATAATACGGCACTTAATATTTAGGGTACCCCAAAAGGGACCATAGCTTTGACAACCACCCACATGAGGTCCTAGCATAATTTTCCACTCCAGAAAATTTGCTTGTGGTTTAAGGGTTTAGGGTCGTCTAGGGTTTAGTGTCTAGGGTTTAGGGTCTAGGGTTTAGGGTCTAGGGTTTAGGGTTTCGGGCTTAGGTTGGTTTTGCACTTCTAAGACAGTTTAGGGGTGAGGCTTCATAGGACTTTCAGACATTATTCAACTTTAATCTTGCAGATGCTCTGAGCACTTTTGGGGGCTTAGGGTTAGGGTTCAGGGTTTAGGTTTTAGGGTTTAGGGTTTAGGGTTTAGGCTGGCTATTTTAGTGGAAGGATGTCAGTTAGCGGCTCTTCCAGTGGAATGCCGCATGCTTGACTTGATCCCGCAGCAATCTGGCTTATTACTGAATACTTAGTATGCCGGCAACATGCGCCGCAGTTTAGTGAATCATGCAGTGGCAGCCAAACCTCGTTTTACAGCCGACTGCTGTCAGCGGCGGCCGCCCCCTTCGGCTGCGGGATGAGATTCCGCTGGACGCAGAAATGCTCTACGCTTTGTCCCGCCGTGCCCGGAGACGCCTGCGCGATCTCGAGACTTCCACCCAGACAAGTCTGCAAGTGGATCGTTCCAGACAAGTTCTGTGTATCCAGGGGTCTGCTGCCGGCATTGCAGAGGTGAGGCGCGCCTCGGCAGCAATTGCCAACATGTACCCCAAAACCCTGAACCCTAAACCCTCAACCCTGAACCCTGAACCCCAAAACCCTCAACCCTGAACCCTAAACCCCAAACCCTAAACCCTAAACCCCTAGACCCTAAACCCCTAAACCCCTGCAACCCTCGTTTCGAGACCTAGAGAAACCCTAAACCCTAAACCCTAAACCCTAAACCCTAAACCCTAAACCCTAAACCCTAAACCCTAAACCCCTCACTAGACCAGCCTCTCCAAGGTGAAGTGGAGAGTCGCGCCGGCCCTCGGAAGGCTTGGGCTGATTGGGCTTTAGGGTTTCAAGTCTTAGCTTTAGGGTTTAGGGTTTAGGGTTTAGGGTTTAGGGTTTAGGGTTTAGGGTTTAGGGTTCAGGGTTTAGGGTTCAGGGTTTAGGGTTTAGGGTTTAGGGTTCGGGTTTAGGGTTTAGGGTTTAGGGTTTAGGGTTTAGGGTTTAGGGTTTAGGGTTTAGGGTTTAGGGTTTAGGGTTTAGGGTTTAGGGTTTAGGGTTTAGGGTTTAGGGTTTAGGGTTTAGGGTTTAGGGTTTAGGGTTTAGGGTTTAGGGTTCAGAGTTTAGGGTTTAGGGTCCAGGGTCTCGGGTTTGGGGTCAAAACGATGATTCAGGGCTGTAGGTATACATCTGTGCCTGCCCTTTCTATATACGCGCAGGTCTTCGTTTTGTTGCTTTCTTCATGTTCTGCATGTTGTGGGTCGTCGGAAACTTAGCTGGTTTGCGAGCTTGCCGGGTCTGAGAAAGGTGGTAAGAATCCCGACCCCGAAGCCCGAAACCGTAAAGCTCGGTCAGGGGTAGAAGGCTTATGTAGTGAGCAGCTACGCTTCCGGATTTGGCAAACCCGGAACCCTGAACCCTGAACCCTGAACCCCTAAACCCTAAAAACCCAAAAACCCTAAAAACCCCCAAAACCCTAAAAACCCCAAAAACCCTAAAAACCCTAAAAACCCTAAACCCTATTGGTTTAAAAGATCAGGGTTTGGGGTGTCGAGTTGAAAGTGGTCGTTCGATGCGAGTTTAGATCCTTGTTCCCTTTGGATTTAGGGTTTAGGGTTTAGGGTTTATAAGTTTAAGGTTTAGGGTTTTGATTTGCCTCTCAAACCCTAAACAAATCCTAAATGCGGGTTTCCGAAATTAGGGGTACCTTGTTGGGGTCCTTACAAAAGGTGAATCCTATTTTTGGGGGGTCTACATTAGGGTTCCCCTATTTTCGTAAACCCCCAAATCTTAAATCCTAAATCCTGAACCCTGAATCCTGAACCCTGAATCCTGAACCCTGAACCCAAAACCCTAAACCCTAAACACAAAACCCTAAACCCCAAACCCTAAACTGACTCTAAAAAGGGTACGCGCCCTTCGGCCTCCTAGCTTGGGTGTCCACCATTAACCCTACACTTCCTTTTTAGGTTCAGGGTGCCTCAGAAACCAGTTTAGGGTTTAGGAGATAGGGTTCAGGGTTTAGAGGGTTTAGGGTTTAGGGTTGCTTTATGGTTTAGGGTCTAGATTGCTGTTTCTCCCTCTAAGGGGCTAGAAGTACAGATGTGTAATTGGGTCAAGAAGTACCATGCATCTCCAAGTATAAAACAATCAAGACCCTCAACCAGCAGCACGGGTCGAGGTCAAGCAAAAACGACCACCAGGGTTTAGGGTTTAGGGTTTAGGGTTTAAGGGACCCACACGCTCCACTACACCTTATTTGATTAGAGTTGAGGGGCTATCCCTTAAATCCACCCTAAACCATGGACTAGCATATCCCTTTAGGAATGTTCCCGAGATGATCTTGGGATCCCTTTTTTTTGACGTGGGGTCCGTGCGTTAATCCGCCCTTAACTGAGAGACGCTTGGGCCGCTGGGTCTAAGATTTCATTGTGGGACAGTTTTGGATGAAATTCAATGGGTTTATGGTTCAAGGAGGAGTGTTTTGGGTGGGTTCAGGGTGTAGGGGTTAGGGTTCAGGGTGGGGAGGGGGGGGGGGGAGGGCGGGGAGGGGTGTTGGGTTTTTTTTTTTGGGATGGGGTCGTGTAGCGTTCAGAACGTCGAAGCTCTTGGCAGACACCAATGTTCTGAACCCCGAAAGCCTTACCCCCCAGTCCGACTTGCATCTCTTGAACTGGCAGTCTCACAAGCGCTAAATCCCACTTAAAGGCTCAGGGGACTTAGTAGGTGGGGTTATAAGAAAGGTAACTATACTTATACTTACTTATAAGCCCAATCAAGGCACTCATAACCCCACGTACAAAGTGCCTCGATCCTCCAGGTTACGCGCGAAGAATATACTAAACTTACTGGCCCTTAGTCCGCATGTCCTACTGAGTTTCAGTGGGTGACCCCTGAACACCCAGATCCATTGCAACTCCAACTCTCCCCTCCCCCCCCCCCCCCCCACACACACCCGAAAGCTCAGTTTGGGTTTAGAGTTTTGGGTTTAGGGTTTAGGTTTAGGGTTTAGGGTTTAGGGTTTAGGGTTTAGGGTTTAGGGATTCGGAGCCTCCTCTACATCCCCAAAGCAAAAGAGGGCTTCATCTAATTATTGAGGTGATCTCGAAGGCCACGTGGTTTGAGCTTCTTCGCACCCGGAAGTTGAACAGTTCAGCTTCTGCGCTACACTACTTGCCGCTCGGACACGTCTGTAAGGTTTAGGGTTTAGGGTTTAGGGTTTAGGGTTTAGGGTTTGGGGTTTGGGGTTTATCGTTTAGGGTGTAGGGTTTGGCCTCAACATGACTAAGCCGTGAACCCGAAACCTTGGTTGGGTTGAAGAGGGGTCATTTTTGTAGGGTTTAGGGTTTAGGGTTTAGGGTTTAGGGTTTAGGGTTTAGGGTTTAGGGTTTAGGGTTTAGGGTTTAGGGTTTAGGGTTTAGGGTTTAGGGTTTAGGGTTTAGGGTTTAGGAGCGTTGCAACAGTGCCAACCTGGTTCGAGACCTCGGGCTTAGCTTTGGGATTAGAACTTTAGGGCTCAGGGGGGGCGCCCTAAACCGTAAACCCTACAGCCTGCACTTTCCGAAGCCCTAAACCCTAAACCCTAAACCCTAAACCCTGAACCCTGAACCCTGAACCCTAAACTCCCAAACCTTGAACCATCAACAGGCAAGAGGGTTTAACGTTTAGGGCTTAGGGTTTAGGGTTTAGCGTTTAGGGCTCAGGGTTTAGGGTTTAGGGTTTCCGGAAGCGGGCAGTTCCTCTACATTAGGGTCCCTTTGATGTCTTTTGTGTCAGGACTATGTATGGGCCCCAAACAGGGACCCGATTTAGAGAACTACGCAAGCATTAGAGTTTAGGGTTTCGGGTTTAGGGTGAATTAGGTACCTTATACCCCCCTCCCCTATAAGCCCTTTGTGCGCTTCTAGAAGATTCCTCATTCCCTACAAAGAACCGGAAAGGTAAGTCTTCGGGCTTCGATGGGTACTTATAACCCCAGTATTGGAAGTCTTCTTCTAACCCCAAACCCGAAACCCCTGCCCTAAACCCGAAACCCTAACCCTAAACCCGAAACCCTTACACCCTAAACCCCTAAACCCCTAACCCTAAACCCGAAGCCCTAAACCCCTAAACAACCATAAACCCCCTTAACCCCTAAACCCCCTAAACCCCTCAACCCCTCAACCCCTAATCCCCT